GTTCCAGATTCATCACTCTCAAGAGATTCAAATTCTTGGCGTTCTATCTCTTCATCACAAATAGAGCTCCAGAATTCAATCGCTTGGAGTGCAACAGCCTCTTCATCTCCTTTTACTGCATTTGATGTAAGCTCAAATAGGGTCTGCATATAAGGCTCAAGCACATCATAGTAAGTTGAAGCTATTGCAACAAGACACTCAAAAGCAGCCTGCCTGATCTCCACCTCTTTGGACATGGCTGTCTCACATACTACCTTCATGATATAATTCCTCTCCATTTCATTCTCAAAGTTGGTCTGTGCAAAATCCAGGGCATTATACAAAGCCCTTGTTGCTGTAAGGCGAACATCAAGACTATGTTCTGCAAGATTCATGCCTTGCACAACAGCAGTGAGAACAGCATTCACTTCTTCTTGCACAAGATCCTGATGAGATATTTCCTCACAAACATATCCAAGAGTTTCCAAGGTTGCCTGTTTCAAAGCAGTGGAGCTGTCTTGCTGAGTCATATTGTTAAGCAATGATCCAATAAGTTCTGGCCACTGCTTCCTAGGAATCTCAATTGAAGCAATTTTGGCAATAACTTGTGCAGAAGTGTGCCTTGCTTCAGGCACAGATGACCCAACAGTCCTCAATAGCAAGTCTTTTATTTGAGATTTGATAGAAATGTCAATTTCCATCCATTGTTGAACAAGCTGTTCCTTCCTAGCATCCTCTTTTGCATCTAACGAGTTCTTAAGCACAAGACCAGCCAACCTACGAGATTCAGTTGGTTTCTCATTGTTTGCAAGCTCAACTGACAATGAAAGTAAGAAAACAGGAAGGTTCTGCTCCTGGAACAGCCTTAGACTGGCCTCTGCCTCTGTTCGAACTTTAGCATCCAATGCTTGGGCAGCCAACAAAAACTGGGTGATCTCCATAGCCATATATCCACACTAAAACAGAAAACATAAAAGATAAATCAGAAATTTGGGCTATCACATACCATAACCAGGAGGTGAAGGGAAATTTATCATTCCAGAGAAAGAGAGCTGCTTGAGAAATTACTGTTGCTACAAATACATGTTAAGTCACCTAAATACATAAAAATAATCAGCAACACCACATTAAACGTGAGAACTCAAACAGAATAGACTACACAGCTTTGAGTGACGAACCTCAATCAATTCAAAGTTAGCTGTATTCCTTGAACCAGGTACTTCACATGAACACCATTTTATGGCCTCAAAATTGGCAACAGTTATGTTAATGCAGTATAAACAACCCACTAAATTACCCATTGTCCTTCATTAACAATATGAGAAAAGTTGAAAATTACCCATTTCCTTTCATGCCCATTATTAGCAAAATTAAACATATTTTCGTTGTTAATCTTTTATTATTGTTTTATATTTCAACTAAAATATTCAGATATAAAAAATGTTTCCACTAATATCCATTTCCCTTCATGCCCATTATTAGCAAAATTACAACATATTTTCGTTGTTAATCTTCTATTATTGTTTTATATTTCAGCTCAAATATTCAGAGACCAAAAATGTTTCCGCCAATAACAAATTGAAGCAATAGAAGACGATTTCCCTTCCGTCCTCCAAGTATTATCTACAAACAAAAAATGGGCAAAAGCAAGGAAAGGCGATAGATCTCCAAGCGAGAAACAGAAGAAAATAGCAAATAAAAACCTCAAATTATAACAGATTCCACTGGTACTTCATAAAACAGCAAACGAAAACCCTAGCACACTAAAACCACTGGCGAAAAAAGCGATACTCCTCGATCTAATTAATAGAACGAAAATCGAAAGCCATAGATGCTTATTAAGCAAAACGAAGTACCTGAAATCAAAATCCGACGAACTGACGAGATTCAAAATTCGAAAACGCACTAAAGAGAACCTAGGGCTTTTCCTTCTCCCTCCGAAGCAGAAGCACAGACTCACCCTCCGTCGTCGATACTTGCTCGAGCGAAGGAGAATGAAGAAGAAGAAGAGAGACAGCACCGGAGATCAGTGTGTTGGGACTTGAGAGTGAGAGAGCTATGTGGATGAAGGCATTTTTTAATGATTTCGAATGCAGGGAAAGAAGCGGGAGGAAGGAAGCGAAGTGAAGTGAGGGAGAAAAGACAAACGGGTAGGGATTTCGTTGCTGCCCGAACTGCCCGAGATCACCAACTCCAAGAACCCTAAATTTTGAAATGCACAGCACGTGTTGATTTTTGATTGAGACGTTTCTAAAATTAAAATATTTTGAAAAATAAAAATCTTTTGGGCCCTTTAGTGGGCTGATGCGCTTTAGTTATAAAATTGGCAAGCATCAACTCCATCCTTCTATTCGGTCGGATCTAATAGTTTGTTCTTAAATTTAAACGTTTGAATATAATTGATCGAGAGTTTAAGTTTTACTAATTATATGTTAAGTTAATCTTTATCGGCATATAAGCTTATACACGTTACTTCTGGATATAAATGTATGAATTACCCCTTTCTGTGGAGGGGAAAATTGCAAGCTTAGTAATACAACAAAATACTGGGAGGAGTTATAATGCATATGCATGTAACCAAAGAACAACAAATCATAAAACCTGCAAAACTGGAAGACTTCTTCGGAATGCTTCCATTTCATTTACATGATTCCTATTTTCTGTCGTATATTTCACCCCCTTTGCGGCTTTGCTGGAGCTAAAGATTGAAGCGGCGGCTGCATCTCTGAATTGCTATTGTCTATGTCAAGTCATCCAATCCATAACCAAGAGGGAAAATATGTACATGCTAGCTTTTCTAGTGTCAATTTCTTTCTTCTTGCTTCTCAATTTTCCAGAGGCAAAATCTAAAATATGCTGGCCTTCCATCATCTAGTGGAACAAAAAGAATCTGAAAGAAGAAAAAGGTGTCAACAATATGATTGTCCACAGGTATCCTGTCGATTTTCTTGTTCCTAGACCTGCTCGCAGACTTTGTTATATAGCTCAAGAGTATCAGAATGACCAGGATCAAGACACAGGGCTGCCTCACAATCTCTGATGGCAGATTCATGGTCACCCACTGAATCATGAAATGCAGCTCGAAGATGCAGTAGCTGCAGGTCTAGCTTGAAACCTATTACTTTTGTTAGCTCTGCAATGGCCTCATCTTCGTTGTAATCATCCATTAGAACTGGTAATGCAGAACTTCGTGTTAGAAATTATTCTGGGACAAAGTTTATGTAACTAGTTAGTTTTGGAGTACCTTGACTAAATTAATGTTGTAGATCGAAAGCAGACAAGAAAGTACTAAATCGTAGCAAATTACATAATCATGGAAAGATTATAGGTATTATTCCCCAACACATGTTTACCTAGCCCACAACAAAATTGGACTTGCTTATAGTGACTAAAAGCAGATGACACAAAAGAAATTATAAACCTGATCGAGGAGTTTACCTGCTGCCCTGTATCTGCATGGATAAGTCCTTAAGGGATCTAATTTTGTTGTCATACTAAGATCACTCTTTGCCATGTTTTGATCACAATATTCTGAATGCTTCTCATAAGCTGAAGCATTGTTCCAGGCCTTCTCTATCAGCTTTTTCATCTCATCATATGCAGCCTTTAGTTGGTTTTTGAGATGAAATACCCGTGCCCGACCCTGATGTGCTTGTGTATGCTTGATGTTGAGTGCATTCATGTAGCAGGTAGCAGCCTGGTCTAGTTTAGCACAGTCAACAAAGACACTACCTAAATTATTCAATGCCAGCAAAAAGGAACAGTAACTCAGAAAATTTCTACTTCTCACTTCCGTATCATATAAAGAAAAACTATTTCCTTAGTTGTCCTTTCTGAAGTCCATCTGATGGGCATCTAAGAGCTTCTTCCAAAAGTTGTATAACATACAATGAAGACTCTTCATCAAGGCTTGAATCTGCTAAAGCATATGCTTTAAGGAAGAAAGCTTCGAATGATCTCTGGATGGCAATTGACTCCTCTGCCTTAGCAAGCGCCTCTTCATGGTGGCCAATGTCGTATAATATCCATCCTTCATAGACAAGCCTTTCATGTTCAGATGTAGAATGATTTCTAGCCAGTCGTAGACTATGCATTGCAGCCTTTTGAGAATTTAACCTACAGCATTCATTAACAGTGGGATGAAATTCAAAGAAAAGAATAAAGGTAATCAAATACTGTGCTATTGAGTTTTGACTAAAATGATGTAGAATATTAGCACTTCAAAATCAAAATGAGGAATTAATGCCGTTGAGAAAAAATGTCTCAGTTGTCAGTTTAAAGCCTGTTTCTATAATTGCACTCAATATCTAATATTCCTTACAACCTGTAAAGGATAATGAACATGAAAGTTGTTTTCAACATTTAAGATGAGAAGATAGATATAGTTCCTGCAAATTTAGTTCTGAATACACAATGTGAGGCATATTACAGTGGTATTCTAAGACTACAATTTAAAAGGAAAGCACAGTAATAACCTAGAATGACAGAAACTAGCTAATCTTACATAAAGAAAATGGAATGGGAATAAATTATAGGAACTTAAAAGAAATGTTATCAAAATATATCAAAGCTAAAAGTTTGAGAACTGATGGTTGGATTCAATTCAGTAGCAACTTCCAAATCCAGCATCTTGTCCTTCCCAATGCAGTACAAGGAATGCTCCTGATACATCCACCCAACTGGTTTATAATCTGAAACGAGTGTATCTGTGAGCTTGTAAGCTGAATATTTGTAGTCACGCTTGAACTTGGACCTTGCAATACCCACTACTGAATAAACATGGCCTGCCTCAACTGCTTCCTCGAAGCAGTGCTGAGCATCTTTCTACTCTTTTCTCTCAAGCATTACAACACCTAGCTGGTGACATGCTAGTTGTTTCTGCCAACTCTCTGATGCACACTCTGTCAACCTCTCTAGAAGCATCACAGTGGTGTTTGATTTCATGTCTTCATCCATTGCAATCTGGCTCAAGAAATAATACAACAAAAGGGAAGCATGCCCAACTAGAGCCAATCTTTGCCTAGCATCTGAGCTACAAAAATATTTCATCACACTAGGATTATGCATCAAACTTGGGAGCTTCCTTAAAAACATCTGCAAGCAAGCTGCCACGAGAAGATATGCAGTTTCCACCAATCCATAATCAATTAACAACATGGCATCCTCCATGTCATTGACCAAAGATGCTAGATGAATGTCACAAGCAAACTTCAACTCCTCACAACAAAATTTGTTTGCAAAAGAAAGAACCTCCAAGACAATTTGAGGGTCAAAAGAAGCTATTTTTCTTGTCCTGCTAAAAATCTCAACAGCCCCCATCCCTTCTGCCGGAATACCATTCTGTGCAAAATTTATCTTCTCCCTTTTAGACTCCCTGAAACCACCATATAGCATTGCGCTAAATGGTCTTGATAACAACGCAATTTTGGACCGTATACACCTAACCTCCTTATCTCCAAAGCAAAATGACGTATCTCCATCCCCAAGAGAAGTAGAACATTCCTCCTTACCCATCAAAACATCATCATCAAGTTCACCTCGCTGTGTTCTAGAACACATACAAGGATCATAAGTGGATTCCGGATCATACCGAGATGCCAAGGTAGCCTTAGGACACTCAATATTTCTTCCACAACAATCCATTGAGGATGTACCAATAAGCTCATCGTCCCTCCTCTCAAACCTCAACCAAGATGCAGGCACAACCTTCGAATGCACATCCACCGCGCGCTCTCTAGCCGATCTGAGGACCCGTCGAAACAGTTTAGGTTCTGACAACCGACGGAAAATTCCACATTGCTCAAGATACACTCCTGATTTCTCAAACTGGCGGCAATCCTCAAGCCTACGGCACACATCAGCTAGAGTTTCAACAAAATCAACAGATTTTAAACATGGTTCAATCTTGGGTTCGAGGAGATCAGTGACGGGCAACCCATAAGGAAGTAATATTTCGGGTGCAACAGAAGAGGTTAGATTAGGTACTCGGTAATTTCGACCCAATTTGGATCGAATAGAATTGACTCTCAGATGGTTTTGAAGGTGGTGGAAGAGCTTATCACCATCCCCACCTCCATTGCCGGCGGGATTTAGGGCATACACTTGTGCAGACTTACACCCATCTCTAAGCTTTAAACTATGCGTTGTTGAAATATATTATTCTGCATTTTCCCCCTATCCTCAATTCCCAAAAAGAAAGAAATTTGAACCTGAAAAAAAAAATTAAAACTTTAAGAATTTGCCAGAAAGAACAAGATCTGGAGATAAATAAGGAAATGGGTATCGAACGA